AAAGTGTAACTAATTTGTCTAAAAAATGCTGTCAAAACGAAACATTGAAAGTACTTACTTATTAGCATTTGAAGGACGACATTCTTATATTACAATCGTTAAAATTTTAGCGTCATTTTTCTTTATATCAAAACAAAAAAAATCTTAAGCATTTATAAAAAGTTAAAAAAATACTAAACTACATTTCAATAATTATAAGGACTTCCTCTAAATTCCTTTGGCCATGAACACACACAATTTCATTCATTTGAATTACACAAATTTTGTTTAGGTGAATAGCAAGTAGTAGTTGTAGTAGAAGAAGAAGAAGGCAGTGACATTTACAGTGATGTGTTTTATACGTTGCAGTGGAGGTAAGCATGATTTGGGTGACATTTTATTTTTTTAATAGAGAAAAAAGAGAGGAAAAGAAATGGAAAAACACAAACACAACATCCTTAATAAATTAAACCAAAACCATATCTAAATATATATGTATTGTCATTGAACTACATTAAGCAAAAGCATGAGGGGAAATAAAGGGATACGTTGGATCTCAAACGAAATGCAAACTTGTTGGAATAAAATTTAAAAGAAAAAGAAGTGTAAAATAGGGGGAGAACTTATAGTGAAACTTCTTTCATTAGCCAGCCAGCCAGCGAAAAAACACAACCGAAAATATCAACAACAACGCGCACATCCTTTTTCCACCTAATTTGCTGGTGATGTGTTTTGTGTCCGTTCGTTCGTTTGTTCTCTTTCTCACACCATATCTATCTTAATTATTCCATGGCAGTGATGGTAATATCTGCTTTCAAAATGTGTCATAAGCAGAGAGGAAAACATTAGCGAAGCATAACGAAAGCTAAACACATACAATTGAGTTTGTGTTGGTTAATGAGGGGGGTGTGGGGTGGCAGCAAAATGTATCTTTCAAGTCAAAAACAAAAATGAAAATGTGTTGCGAAAATGTGTTCTTTCCACTAAATTAAACCAAATTAAACACCAACTAATGGTGGTTTTTAAAAAGAAAATAGTTTAGCCGCAAGGATGGATAAGCAATTGTTCAAAAAAAGTTCTTTGAATAAAATTTAGAATTGATGATGGTAACAAATCTAATATTTAAAAAAACAAAGTCCAAAGGATGAATTATAAAGTATTTGTATCTCTTCATTTATTCTCAATTCCGAATATACATATATATTTTAGTTTCAGTATTGGTTCTGAAATTATGCAATTATGTCTTTCTGTCAAAGAATAAACCAAATTTGATTGTTTTTAATGGATATTGTTTTAATCCAGACTTAACTACGACCACATTGATCCAGAATTGTTTTACCCTTGTAAAAATTCAGTACTTTTTTCATATCATACTATGCAGGTTATATTAACATTGTCATCCATCTGTACGACCCTACAAAGTACAGGGTGAGATGAACAAACTGCAACAAACTTCAGACTGCCGCCATTTCTAATCCACTCGTCCGACAGCTGTTAAAATTATTCCAGAGACAGCTCATTATATTGTTTACAAGCGTACAAAAGCATTTTGGTTAGAATTTTCCAAGAAAAAAGTTATTCGTGATGGAATTCAAGCGTGATAGTGTGATTTCTTTATATTTGGCTGGAAAACCACAAGTGGCTATCGTTAGAGCACTCCAGCATTTAAATGTGAATAAATCGTTTGTGTCTCGTACCATCTCTCGTTACCGTGATACTGGTAACGTAGGCCGACATCAAGGAAATGGACGGAAGAAAACAGCAACATCAGCAGAAATGGTTCGAAAAGTAAAGAAGCGACTTGATCGAAACACGCGTTGCAGTGGCCGAAAAATGGCTCGTGAGTTGAACGTATCGCAATATTCCATTGGGAAAGTATTGAAAAATGAGCTCGGGGCAAAGCCATTGAAATTCCAAAACGTGCAAGAGCTTACAACGCAACAGAAAGAAAATAGACTCAAAAGAGCTAAAGAGTTTCTTCGGTTGGCCGAAAGTGGTGAACTGCCGATTTTTTTTTTTTTTTTTTTTTGATGAAAAAAAAGTTTGTAAACAAGCAAAATGAATATGTGAAGCTTCGGTTGGCCACCAGAACTCAAGCGCTGGCCATGGCCATAACAGCCGATGGTCGCTCTCCGCTCGTATTAATTGACCGTGGCATCAGAATAAATGCCGAATATTATCGCGAAAATATTCTGGAGGGTGTATTAAAGCCTTGGGCAAACATTTTGGCCGCAGACCTTGGACATTCCAACAGGACTCAGCACCATCGCACTCAGCACGTGCCACCCAGAAATGGTTACAAAACGAGGTTCCTCGCTCCATTTACAGCGCACAATAGCCACCAAAATCTCCGGATACCAATCCGTTGGGCTATTGTGTCTGGAGTATTTTGAAAGGCAAGGTTGGCACTAAAAAATACCAAAGTGTCGATCAGCTCAAACAAACGCTTCGCCGGGATTGAGCCAAAATACCGCAGGGCAACATTCGGGCAGCGTGTGACGATTTCATTGGCCGTTTGAAGGCCATAATTTGTATCAAAGGTTACCAATTCGAACAAATCTAAACTTATTCTAAAATTGTATGCTATTTCCGACATTTTTTGCTTTCATTCAATAAAATTAAAAAAAAAAAAAAAAAACTTAAAAAATTGGAGAAGGATTATATTAAAAAATGTATATATCGGAGCCGAATTGCACAAAATGGAAACGTTCATCACGAAATTCACTCCATTTGGGCTGATATTAGCCATTATTTGCACAATAAACCCGAAATCGTTGAAAATATATATGGGACCTATATCCAAATCTGAACCGAACTTGATAAAATTTGGCAGAGGTATTTCCGAGTTCTATAAGATATCTGGTACCAAATATCATTGTTGTCGAATGCATATTACGAATTTGAGGGACTTAAAACTCCAAATCAGATGAAATATATATATGAGAGCTATAGCTATATCTGAACCGATTTTCGAATTTGATGTACTTGCTTCTAGACTGAATTCGGTCGGATATGCCAAAATTCAGGTCATTTGTACAGATATTGGCCATTTGGTGCACAATTGTCCCGAAATCGGTTGAGGGTATGTATGGGTGCTATAACCAAATCTGAAGAAATCTTGACAAATTTTGATACATTTATTTCGGAGCTGTATCTGATATTTGATACCAAAAATTATTATTGTGGAATGCATATTACGCATGTGAGGTACTATAAACCCCAAGTCGGATAAAACATATATGTGGGAGCTATAGCCATATCTGAACCGATTTTCACCAAATATGAAGTACTGGCTTATAGGATGAATTCAGTCGTAGTTGCCAAAATTAAGTCCATTTGGGCTGATAGTAGCCATTTTATCCACAATAAACCTGGTATCGGATAAAGATATATATGGGAGCTATATCCTAATCTGAACTGATCTCGATAAAATTTGACAGAGATAATTTCGAGCAGCATCTAATGTCTAAATATCATTCTTCTGGAGTGCATATTACGCATGGGAGGGATTTAAAACCCCAAATCGGATGAACCCCAAAAAGGATGATAAAAACACCATTCCAAATGTGTTTTAAGATATCTGGTACCAAATATCATTGTTGTCAAATGCATATTACGAATTTGAGGGACTTAAAACCCTAAATCAGATGAAACATATATATGGGAGCTATATCTATATCTGAACCGATTTTCTTCGAATTCGATGTACTTGCTTCTAGACTGAATTCGGTCGGATATGCCAAAATTCAGGTGATTTGAACAGATATTGGCCATTTGGTTCACAATTATCCCGAAATCGGTTGAGGCTATGTATGGATGCTATAACCAAACCTGATGAAATCTTGACAAATTTTGATACATTTATTTCGGAGCTGTATCTGATATTTGATACCAAAAATTATTGCTGTAGAATGTATATTACGCATGTGAGGTGCTATAAACCCCAAGTCGGATAAAACATATATGTGGGAGCTATAGCCATATCTGAACCGATTTTACCAAATATAAAGTACTGCCTTATAGGATGAATTCAGTAGTAGTTGCCAAAATTAAGTCCATTTGGGCTGATAGTAACCATTTTATCCACAATAAACCTGGTATCGGATATAGATATATATGGGAGCTATATCCTAATCTGAACTGATCGGGATAAAATTTGACAGAGATATTTTCGAGCAGCATCTGATGTCAAAATATTATTCTTCTGGAGTGCATATTACGCATGTGAGGGACTTGAAACCCCAAATCGGATGAAACGTAATACCCTTACCACTACATGGTGTAGGGTATAAAAACACCATTCCAAATGTGTTTTGAATTAAAAACTCGAAAATATAAAAAAATGGGATGACGCTTTTTTCGTATCCTCACGCAAAAATCGATCTAAGAATCTTTTATGTACTTATACCTATTAAAATCTCTCTGAAAAATTAATAAAATAAAAATCTTAAAATTCCTGACAAACAAAAAAATAAACCAAAAAATAATTCATTTATTTACATTTTTTCCCGGTGTGAAATCGTACCTAATTTCGCTACCTTTTTAAAGCCAGTGAAAATTTACTTTTTTTTCTACAAACCAAAAAACCATCCGCAAACCGCCAATTTGTTTTTAAACTATAAAAAAGCCAGTGATTGAGTGAGTGGGAAAAGCAAAAAAAATATATATAGATATTTAAAAATATAAATGTGTGAGATTAGTGAGTTTTACGGGGTAATTATTTTAGGGATTTAACTAAAAAGTTAAAAATATTTTTTTGTTTTCTTTCAAATGTATGTGAGTGAGTGAAGTTGGGTGTGCTAATAGCAAATATGTGTATGTATATGAAAATCCTTTTAGCCCAAAAGTTATATAAAATTAAAAAAATAAACAAACTTTCACCAAAGCAAAACAATATATAGTTTGATTCAGATTGCATTAACGTTTTAATTTATGTTAGAAAATAAAAGGTGTTTATAAGGGATTTATATTTATATAGGGATGTGTTTAAATGTTTCACAACAAAGACAATTTACACTTACCTAATGTCTTCTGAATCATCGTCATCAACATCTTCGTCGTCATCATCATCGCTGCATTCCCGTAATGTGTCCCCACTTCGTTTGCCTTTACCATTATTGGCATGATGCATATCAACTGCATCACCATTATCGTAACTACCATCGTCATCATCGTCGTCGTAGTTATCCTCATTCTCATCCTCATCCACATCCTTATTATCGTTTTTGTTGTCTTGTTGACGCCTTCTATTGACATCATCCAATAATCGCGATTTATTCTTATCGCTGCGTAATGTTGCAATTTTACGCTCTTCCTCTTGTTTCAGCTTTTCAACTTCGTCTTGAGACAGGAACGAGAAAACTTTTTCTATAACGACGAGAGAAAAATGGAAGAAAACACAAACAAATTCATCGATGAGTTGGGGGTGTAAAATATTCATAGTTTTGGATGCAGCAAAAAAACAGTGTTGATAGAAAAATAAAGTAAATCCATCGAGTTTTAATAAAGATTATCGAACAAAGTTTCCTTCAGCAATTTCATGCTGAACAATGGATGATAAATAGAATGGAATTTTATGGAATTAGCTAAATAATTGTCATCGTTGACTTGCTAAGCTATTGTTGAACTTTTAATCAGTTGTAACAATAGCTGGACCTTTTGTTTTCAATTGATTGATAAACGGTTATTAGGGCTTAAAGTCCATCTTTTGGGAATATACATCGAATTCATACACACATATTCATATATTTCACAATTCGTCGATATGCGAAGTTATTGGTTTATGGATTTGATATGGATGTAAACAGCTGTAAAATTAAAATTTCTTCATCCAAGGGCACAAATTCTATAAGTCATATTTTTAACATTTTATGGGATATACCAAAACACCGTAATGGTAATGAGAAAAATAAGTTCAGAAGGTATTTTTGGATTAAGGTGAAATGACTTTTTCTATTTATACAGTTCCCAAATTTTGGCTGTGTACATTTAGAAAGTATTGATATACAGTGTGAGATGAAAAACCGCAACTAACTTCAGACTGCTGTCACTTCCAAGCCACTCGTCCCACAGCTGTTAAAATTATTCCAGTGACAGCATTTGCATTTTGGTGAGAATTTTCCAGAAAAAAAGTTATTCGTGATGGTATTCAAGCGTGATAGTGTGCTTTCTTTATATTTGGCTGGAAAACCACAAGTGAATATCGTTAGAGAACTCCAGCATTTAAATGTGAATAAATCTTTTGTGTATCTTATCATCGCAAAATACCGTGGTGCACGGACGGACGGACAGCAACTTCAGCAGAATTGGTTCGAAAATTAAAGAAGCGACTTGATCGAAACTCTCGTCGCAGTGGCCGAAAAATGGCTCGTGAGTAGAACATATCACTATATTCAATTCGGCAAATATTGAAAAATGAGCTCGTGTAAAGCTCCTGTAAAGCCATTGAAGTGCAACAGAAAGAAAATAGACTCAAAAGAGCCAATGAGTTGCTTCGCTTACCCGGAAGGGGTTAACTGCCGAATTTGGTTTTCTCCGATGAAAAAACATTCGTTGTCCAGCAGTTTGTAAAGAAACAAAATGATCGTGTTTGCTTGCCAAAGAGGTCAACCGCCGTAACAGCCGATGGTCACTCTCCGCTCCTATTTATCGACCGTGGCATCAAAATAAATGCCGAATATTATCGCGAGAATATTCTGGAGGGTGTATTAAAGCCTTGGGCTGGCAAACATTTTGGCCGCAGACCTTGGAAATTCTATGATATTCTTCGCTTCATTTCCAGCGCACAATGGCCACCAAAATCTCTGGATACTAATCTGTTGGACTATTGTGTCTGGAAAGCAAGGTTTGCTCTAAAAAATACCAAATTGTCGATCACATCAAGCAAGCGCTTCGCCGGGAATGGGCCAAAATACTGCAGAGCAACATTCGGGCAGCGTATGACGGTTTCATTGGCCTTTTGAAGGCCATAATTCGTGCCAAAGGTGACCAATTCGAACAAATCTAAACTTATTCTAAAATTTGATGCTATTTCCCAAATATTTGTTTTCATAAAATTTAAAAAAAAAATGTAAAAATTATGACGTTCGACTTTGTTGCAGTTTTTTTTATCACCCCCTGTAGTGCTTGATATAGGAAATTTAATATTGGGATCGCTGTTCATGTGTAGCCTGGACATATGGAGGTGGTTTCGGAAATGTATAATGGGTGAAGAGATATACATAAAACTCGGAATGTTTTCGAAATGTGTACTATAAGTGTCCGAATTGTACTAAATTTGGTTTTGGGTGAAGGGATAGAGCTGGAACGGTGAAATGAAATATGACAATAACAGTTGTTGATTAGGACTTATAAACGAGGGGGGTTTTAGAAATGTGTACTATACTTGCAAGAAAAGTACTAAGAAGTACTAAATTTTGTACTGGGTGAAGAAATAGACCTAAAGTCTTCAAATTTGATATTAAAGTGTCTGTCGGTATCTTGAATTGAGATATGAAGGTTGTTTTAGAAATGTGTACTACAATTGTTCGAAAAGTACTTAATTTGGTATTGGGTAAAGGGAAAGGTCTGGAATTCTCATATTTGACATTAAGGTCTCTTTTGGTATCGGGAATTGTGCTATGGATGTAGTTTTAGAAATGTGTACTATAATTGTACTAAATATAAAATTGAGTACTAAGTTCGGTATTGGATGAAGGAATAGAACAGGAAGGAATATAATTCTACGAAAAGTACTAAATGGTACTAAAGTTGATATTGGGCGAAAGGATATTGGGCTGAAATCTTTAAATTTGATATAAATGCCAACAGACCCAACAAAGTATATATATTCTTGATCAGCGTAAAATTTAGCCATGTCCGTCCGTCTGTCCGTCTGTTGTAATCACACTACAGTCAAAACGAATTAAGATAGCGAGCTAAAATTTTGCACAGATCTGTCTTTTGTCTGCAGGCAGGTCAAGTTCGAAGATGGGCTATATCGGCCCACGATATCGTATAGCCCCCATATACGGGTACCCCCCGATATTCGGTATTTTGAGGATTTTAGATACATTTTTTAACGGAGCTGTCTGAAAATCCACACAAGGAGTTACTTGTGTGTACTTTACCCCTTGAATGAAAAATGTCTATATATGTCCACGATATCGTATAGCCCCCATATAACGGTAACTCTTCGATATTAGGTATTTTGATGATTTTAGCCACATATATAAACGGAAATGTCTGAAATTCTACACAAAGAGTTCTTTTTGAGCACTTTACCCCCTGAAAGTGAATAGTCCATATAGGTCCACGATATCGTATAGCCCCCATATAACGGTACCCCCCGATATTCGGTATTTTGATGATTTTAGCCTCATTTTTCAACGGAATTATCTGAAAATCCACACAAGGAGTTCCTTAAAAGTACATAACCCCCTGAAAGAGAATTGTCGATATAGGTCCACGATATCGTATAACCCCCATATAACGGTACCCCCCGATATTCGGTATTTTGACGATTTTAGATACTTTTTCAACGGAACTGTCTGAAAATCCACACAAGGAGTTACTTGTGAGTTATTACCCCCTGAATGAGAATTGGGGGGTCAGCGTAAAATTGTAAGACGATCTAGCGATGTCCGTCTGTCTGTTGTAATCACGCTATCTTTAGAACTAATTGAGATAGAAGGCTAAAATTTTGCATGAATTTATAGTTTACCAGTAGGCAGGTAAAGTTCGTAAATGGTTCATGTCGGTCTACGTTTTCGTATAGCCCCCATATGACGGTACCTCCCGATATTCGGTATTTTCATGATTTTAGCGACATTATTTACCGGAATTATTTAAAATTTCGTATTTAAAGTTCGTAATGGGTACTACAGCCTATGACAAAATTTTTTGTATGCAGGTCCAAGTCTTCGTATAGCCCCCATATAACGGTACCTCCCGATATTCGGTATTGATGATTTCAGCAACATAATTCACCGGCATCGTTTCATATTTCGTACTGGAAGATACCAATGGGTACCACAGCCTATGGCAAAAATTTATGCAGGTTCAGATCTTCGTATAGTCCCCATATAACGGTACCTCCCGATACTCCGTATTTTTGCAACATCACCGTAATTGTAACAAATTTTGTATTTGCAGTTCGTTATGGGCACTACAGCCTATGACAAAAAATTTCGAAAGCAGGTCCACGTTTTCGTATCGTCCCCATATAACTGTTTTCATTTAAGTGGTAGTTTTCGGATTTATTTTTGGAAATGTTCAATTTATTCCAAATGGTGGAGGGTATTAAAAGTTCGGCCCGGCCGAACTTATCTGCTTTTTCTTTTTTTGGGAATGTGTATTTTCTTTACTAATGCGAAAAATGCTAAATAGTACTAAGTTCTGTATTGGGTGAAGGAATAAAGCTGAAATCCTCAAATTCGATATGGTTGTCAGTGCTGGTGTCTGTGGATGAGATTTGGAGATTGTTTTAAAAATTTTGAAAATTTTGGGTCACTTTTGGTGTCTAGGATGGAGATACGTAGTTTGTTTTGGATATGTGTACTAAAATCGATACTCATTTTGAGTAGCTTAACCTCATGAAAACATGGGTTAGCAGGGTTGGGTTATAAGTAGTTAAGACTATTAAAAATTTATTAAAAATCCCAATATTTGGAAATGGAAGTTTTGGCCAAAAATAGAGACATCAATTGTCTGCATTTCAAGTAACCGAAAAATTGGTGAACTACTCCAATATATTATTTTTCTAACTGAACCAAAAATATAAAAGGCAACCTACACACGACACAACACACAAAAAAAAAAACTTTCCTGCATATTTGTGCCCTACCGCAACTTTTCAAAAACTTCACAAATTTATTGCCAAATTTAACGTGAAACACGAACTTTTTACAATCCTTGCCATTTTTTTTTTTTCGTTTTCTCTTAAAACATCCAAAATGCCGTCAACCACTTAGTGGTAACAAAAAGCGAATCAAGCATCCTACAAATTGGAGGAAAAAAATTTCAACTTTGTATTCGCGCTGGCTGACAGCTGCTAATTATATAAGATGAGCAAAAAGGACCAAAAAAATTGTGGCAAGTCATACACACGATGTCGATAGTAAAAATGCACTTCATGCTGTTAAACAAACTTTGCAGCCACAATCAAATCTCTTGCCCCGCCACGAATCTCGAAATCCTGGCCACGTGGAACTCGCTGGCATACGAAGTTTTGGCTAAGAATCTGCAAGTTTTTCTTAGCATCCTCCATCGAGGTGGTGGAAAAAACTTGCCGAACTAAAATTTGAAGGGAGTCGCTTAATGTTTGGGTCTTTTGTTCGACGTTATAAGGCTAGCCTGCCTATAGCTCACGCTGACCACAATATTTTCCAAAACGAAAAAAAAAACTTTTCTCTCTTCCATGGTTGGCAGAAGTGAAACTTTATTATACTAAAGTTAAAATCACTTCAATGCTAGTAAAAGGAATTTTAAGTGATTCGCTCAAGATGAAGGAAAAGTAGAAAAGTTCAAATTTTTTCGGATATCTTGAATAAGAAGAACAACCGCAAAAAAGTTGAACTAGAGCAAATATAAGCCACTTGAGAAAAATAATGTTTTTGAATAAAGATCCGCCTTTGTTTTGAATTCGATAGCATTGAATAACAATAACGTTTCATGGTCACAAATTCCGAAGCTTGGTGCTTGTTTACCATCCATGAATTTAAAAAAGTAAAGACTAAATTCAAAAGTTAGCTTTCGAGCTGTCGTCATGATTGGACATCTTATATGCATGAAGTCGGACTTAAATCGCATTATAATTGAGGGGTAACAACCCGCGTCCTAAATAGTATTTTTTATTTATATAAAGGGTGAGATGAAAAAACTAACTTCAGACTGCTGTCATTTCTAAGCAACTCGTCCGACAGCTGTTAAATTAATTCCAGCGACTGCTCATTATATTGTTAACAAGCGTACAAAAGCATTTTGGTGAGAATTTTCCCGAAAAAAAGTTATTCGTGATGGAATTTAAGCCTGATAATGTGATTTCATTTATTTAGAGCACTCCAGCATTAAAATGTGAATAAATCTTTTGTGTCTCGTACCAACGCTCGTTACCGTGATACTGTTAGTGTAGCCCGACGTCAAGGAACTGGACGGAAGAAAACAGCCACATCAGCAGAAATGGCAACTTGATCGAAACCCGCGTCGCAGTGGCCGAAAAATGGCTCGTGAACTGAACGTATCGCAATATCCCATTGGGCAAATATTGAAAAATGAGCTCGGGGTAAAGCCATTGAATTTCCAAAAAGTACAAGAACTTACACCACAACAGAAAGAAAATAGACTCAAAAGAGCTAAAGAGTTGCTTCGCTTGGCCAAAAGTGGTGAACTGCCGAATTTAGTTTTCTCCGATGAGAAAACATTCGTTGTCCAGCAGTTTGTGAACAAACAAAATGATCGTGTTTTCTTGTTCGGTTGGCCACCAGCACCGGCTATGGTGATGGTGTGGGCCGCCATAACAGCCGAGGGGCGCTCTCCGCTCGTATTAATCGACCGTGGCATCAGAACAAATGCCGAATATCATCCCGAAAATATTCTGGAGAGTGTATTAAAACCTTGGGCAACCATTTTGGCCGAAGACCTTGGACATTCCAACAGGACTCAGCACGCGCCACCCAAGAATGGATACAAAAAAGAGGCTTCATTTCCAGCGCACAATGGCCACCAAAATTTCCGAATACCAATCCGTTGGTCTATTGTGTCTGGAGTATTTTAAAAAGCAAGGTTAGCTCAAAAAAAATACCAAAGTGCCGATCACCTCAAGCAAGCGCTTCGCCGGGAATGGGCCAAAACACCGCAGAGCAACATTCGGGCAGCGTGTGACGGTTTCATTGGCCGTTTGAAGGCCAAAATTCGTGCCAAAGGTGACCAATGCGAACAAATATAAACTTATTCTAAAATTTGATGCTATTCCAACAGTTTTTGCTTTCATTCAATAAAATTAAAAAAATATATAAAAATTTTGGCGTTTGACTTTGTAGCAGTTTTTTTAGCTCACACTGTATTTTGCTACATATGCGATATCTTGGATATAAGCAACGATGTAAAGGTCAGAAGTGACATTTTCGTGTTTTTGTGATTTCTCTGGATTTAAAAATATTAGCGGTTTAATGGAAATTTTCGTATTCTTTACATAAAGGTTGTGGTCTATTTCACCGGCTAAATATTATTCGATTAATCCTAAACTCTATCCCCCATAATTGTGACCGGTAGGGTCACAAGAAAAAACAACATTTTTTTCTATTTTTGGTCCATTTTAGCCCCTAAATGTCTTGCGATTATCTTCGAAAACAATAGTCTTCTATTCTGATCTTAACCCAAAATTCGTGAGGATCAGGCTTCAAATGGGACCTGCAACGTAATTACAATTTAATATGGACGGACAGACATACATAGCTAAATTGATTCAGTTCGGCGAGAAGGGAATATCTATACATAGTTTCCTATGTCTTGAACCAATATTTCGGGGTGTTACTTATGTTTGGCCCAATCAAACTTATAATACCCCCAACATGTAGTGTAGTCTGCAAAGGTACTCGTTTCGTGTAACGTACATCTTTCAAGTTTGTAGTGGGAGACACTATTTGTTGTACCATCCATTTAGCGACAACTCCCAATGTTCTGCATTTTAATGACTTCAGAAAGACTTTTCAATGGAATTATCTGAAATTAGATGTGTGAAGTTCTTTCTAGGTACTAAAACCTCCGGCAAAACATTGTCCAGAAAGGTCCAGGTTTGGGTATAGCTTCCCATATAACGGTAGCCCCAATATTCGGTTATTCGATTATTGAGGCTTTATGTGCTCATACAGTGTAAATATTTATCTGACAGAAATATAAATATTGTGTAAATATTCATCCGAACCCATATATAATGGTACCTAATGCTATAGTATAGTATTTTCTCCAAGTAGATTCCTTATCCACTAATTGCCTATGAGTTGTTCGTTTTATTTTGGATTTCGTCTTAGAAAATGAAGAAGATTTGCATTTGAAAAAACCGGTTCTAAGGTATATTGATAACCAACAGGATTTGTAAAGTCCTTTGAATTGAGTTGAAGGAAATGCAAGAAAATAGTAAAGGAAAGTTAAATAAAATCTTCATGAAATTTAGTTATATTTCCTTTCTCAACTCACCCCACAATATTGAAAATAAATCTTAGACTTACCTGTCTTTGGTTTATGTTGGTCCTCCATGGCCGATTCAAAGAAACGTTTTTTATCCGATACCGATTTAGGCACTTTTGTTGTTGCTGTTGTGGTCAGCGATGAAACATCAGCAGGTGATATCTGTAATGTGATTTAAATTTAATTAATAATTCATAAATTGCGTTAAAGGGGAACAAATTGAATATTTGCAAACACACACACAAAAATTCATATTCATATATATATGTAACACATAAAATACAAAATTGTTAGTCCCTAAGGATTCATTGAATGACAAAAACAATTCCTAGAATAATTATTATGGCCATGAGTTTTATTCTTCAGTGGAATATGTTAGTATGTATCTTTTGTTCGCAAGAACATCAATTGATTTGCCAGTTCATTCCGCAATTCCACGAAAACATAATTAAATTATGATTTATATTTCCAAAGAAGTTGTAGAGAGAAGTCCTTGTGCGGGATTATAATTTTTGAATAAAATAGCGATTTGTTTGTAATTGGCAGTTTACAGCATACCCTCCGCCCCTACAGAAAATGCTAATAAATTATTGCCCAGTAAGAAGGCCAAATTGATGGAAGGAAAATTCCACGCTACGATTTAATATTTTTGCTCTTTATATACATAACTTTACAACAGTTGAACCAATCCGAAAACTTAGGCAAGAGAGGTTTGAGCCTTTATCTTCCACTTACTTTTCTGAAATTAAAACAGATAATTCATTCGAAATCTCAATTCACATTATAAAAAATTGAAGTTTGCCAAAATGTTGACCCTTTTTAGGGAGATAGCAGAAGTAATTGACTATGCTTTCGACTAATTTCTTGACCTATATTCAACTAAAAAATTAAAATGTTCGAAGTTTGACCTTCGTAGGTTCTTGGATAGGATTCTTCCTTCGTTTTATAAGGAATATTTATTTTTTATACCCTCCTTTTATACCCTCCCTATGGAGTGTATATTAAGTTTGTCATTCCGTTTGTAATACCTTCTTGATCAGGATAAAATTCTATGTCGGTTTAGCGATGTCCGTCCGTCTGTGGAAATCACTTTAGCTTCCGAACGAAAAGAAGTAGATTGATAAAATTTTACTCAAATGTATATTATATGTGCAGGACTTTTGGTATAACACCCATATACTGGTACCTCCCAATATTCGGTATTTTGATGATTTTAGCGACATTTTTCACCGGAATTGTTTCAAATTTGGTATTTGAAGTCCGAAATGGATACTACAGCCTATGACAGGAGATTGACTGTGCAGGTCCACGTCTTCATATAGCCCCCATATAACGGTATCTTCCGATATTCGTTACTTTGTTGATTTTAGCGACTTTTTTCACCGGAATTGTTTCAAATTTGGTATTTGAAGTCCGAAACGGATAGTACAGTCTATGACAGGAGATTGGCTGTGCAGGTCCACGTCTTCGTATAGCCCCCATATATTCGCCAAATTCGTTCCAAACGGTGGGGGGTATTCAAAGGTCGGCCCGGCCGAAAGTACAGCCTTTTTACTTGTTTAATTTCAAACCGATTTCCTATATGGGAGGGATTTGTGAACACCAACCAGCCAGACTGATAAGTGGAGGAAGGACATGGATGTCCATTAATGGATATCGTTTGAACAGACATGAGGAGTATTGTCGTTATTTTGAGGAGGAACATTGCTCATCCAATCACCATCATGCTGAAGTATTCAATGGGCTATTTTTGTCTTGTTGAGAAGTACATAACTTCAAAGGTTTTCCGGTATTCCATTTTCGAATTTTTGGTTAGTTTTCCGATATCTGCTCTAATTTTCAAAATATCCACATAGAGTCGGAAAATTACAATGGTACAACTTTTTTACAAAATTTTTAAGATATTCCGTTTTTTAGAAATCAATTATGACTGAAACACGAATTCGGTGGACCGACCGGCATCATCTAGACTTAATATAGAACGAGTTCCATATCAAACTGCACATTTAAATAGGAGGATTTGATCAACATTTTCAAAATATCAAAAATGGAGTGATAATAATTTATTGGTGCTATAGCGAATGCCAATAACACGCAGTGGAGGAGTTCCAGAATGCTACTCAGCGAATAGCAACTGGAGGCATCCATCATGACAAACCAGTATTGTATTGGGCGCCAATTGAAGGGAATGTGCGAAAAATCTATCGAGCGAATACAGGTCCACATTCCAACTTGTTGAATATTTATATTTGCCCTGCCAGCCCTACCATATTCACTACCTATGAAGAAGAGCCCTGCATTTGTATACCCTCCACCATTCTATGGAGGGTACATTAACTTTGTCATTCCGTTTGTAACTCCTCAAAATACTCATGTCAGACCCAACAAAGTATATATATTCTTGATCAGCGTAAAAGTCTAAGTCGATTTAGCGATGCCCGTCTGTCCCTCTGTTTGCCTGTCCGTCTGTCTGTCTGTAGTAATCACGCTATCTTTCGAACGGATTGAGATAGAAGGCTAAAATTTTCGCACATGTTTATTTCGCCAGTTGGCAGGTAAAGTTCGTAAATGGGTCATGTAGGTCTACGTTTTCATATGGCCCCCATATAACAGTACCTTCCGATATTCGGTATTTAATGATTTTAGCGACATTATTAACCGGAATTGTTTCATGTTTGGTATTTGAAGTTCAAAATGGATACTACAGCCTAGGACAGAAAATTGTCTGTGCAGGTCAACTTCTTCGTATAGCCCCCATATAATGGTACCTCCCGATATTCGGTATTTTGATGATTTTAGCGACATTATTCACCGGAATTGTTTCATATTTGGCATTGAAAGTTCGTAATGGATACTACAGCTTATGACAGAAAATTGTCTGTGTCCTATAAGGGTACCTCCCAATATTCGGTATTTTGATAATTTTACCGTCATTATTATCCGGAGTAGTTTCAAATTACGTATCGTAATGGGAATTACAGTCTGTGACACAAATTTTTTATGCAAGTCCAGGTCTTCGTATAGGCCCAATATATCAATACTACACTGACAGAAAATTGTCTATGCAGTTCCAGCTCTTCGTATAGCTCTGATATAACGGTACCTCCCCATGTACGGTATTTTGAAGATGCTACATTATACCCGTTTATAATATGGTAATGGCTTATAACAAGCAATGCCTTATAGGTCCACGTAGTATAGACCCCAAAATAACGGCTATATTAGGCATTTTTAAGATTTTAACAGAATTTTTTACGATTTTTTTTTTTTTTTTTTTTTTGAAAATTTTGTTCCAAATTTAGAGGGTATACACCCTATAAAAACTAGAAAGTTTAATTTGTATGAACCACTTTTTAGAATTTGGATACAGAAAATGCAAAACCAAAGATTACTTAGAATACAAAATTGTATTAAAGTCCTCCGAAAAATGGTTATATTAAGACCATATTCATTATACGTAATGCATAAAATCAGGTGATAATATAGGGTAGGCATACTGCAACATGGACCCGGAATATCAGAGCAGACTTTTTTTGCTATAAAATTCATGACCAAATAAGCTTATATTTGGAACATTATTAAAATATATTTTCAAAGAGGATTCTTCCCTTCTTTAAAGTATTCTGACCCGTGTAAAATATAAACCGCATTTTCAATTATTTTTCCACAATTCCTATCTTAATCAACAATCCTATTTAAATTTACACTATGCGCAAATGCATGTGTCACACACTGCACCACCTTAAAAATGAATCTTTTTTTGAAAAATTAACAAGATTCTTGCTTGATATGAAGAGGAAAATGCTTGACGGGAAAACTGTTTCCTTTCATAGAGTTTGTCATTTATCAACAGCCACGAAACAACGAATCTGTGGAATTTTGTAAAGTATATTTTGTTGATGATCCTTTTTGCTCGTATCCGTTTTTTTACTTTGTGTTTCATCAACACGTAAATTCAAATTGTAAAAATGCAATTTTTATTACACTTTCACTACCGAACACATACAACCATACTACCTTCACACCCAGCGACTGTGTTGCCAGCCAGCCATTTAGCTACCTCGCTTGTGGTAGCATCAACGGCAGTAGCAGCAACAGGAAAAAATGATTAATTGACCATATTTTTTATGTTCCCGACAAATGTGTCATGGTTTTGTAGTGGCGGGGAGAGAAGGCGTTTTAAACGAAATCAACCCGAAAAAACACATACAAAACAAATGAAACCCGTAACTAAAAGTGAAGGAATGAGTTTTAGTTCAACATCCGGAAAATTAATTGTTATTAATTGCGGTAAACATATTTTTGTAATTAAAATAATATGGCAAAGTTTTTCCGTTGCTGCTGAAAATTTTTGTATGTTTAAATAGCAGCAATTAGAATTTAAATTTATTTTATAAAAATATTTAAGTTAGGATTTTTTTCTCATGAGTGAATTTAAAAAATTTCTATGTTCGAATGGCTACAAAATTTTGGAATGAAATTTGGAATTAAAAAAATAATTAAACTAATATAAATCTCTCAAAATGAGTACACAGGGTGAGATGAGAATACTGCAAGCATCTTCAGACTGCTGTCGTTTCTAAGCCACTCGTCCAACATCTGTTAAAATTATTCCAGTGACAGCTCCTTATATTGCTTACAAGCGTGAGAATTGGTGAGAATTTTCCAGAAAAAAAGTCAATGGTGGTGGAATTCAAGCGTGGTAGTGTGATTTCTTTATATTTGGCTCGAAAACCACAAGTGGCTATCGATAGAGCACTCCAGCATTTAAATGTGAATAAATCTTTTGTGTCTCGTACCTCCGCTCGTTACCGTGATACCGGTAGTGTAGCCCGACGTCAAGTAAGTGGACGGAAGAAAACAGCAACATCAGCAGAAATGGTTCAAAAAGTAAAGAAGAGACTTGATCGAAACCCGGGCCACTGCGAGGCCGAAAAATGGCTCGTGAGCTGAACATATCGCAATATTCAATTCGGCAAATATTGAAACATGAGCTCGGGGTTAAGCCATTGAAATTCCAAACAGTGCAAAAACTTACACCGCAACAGAAAGAAAATAGACTCGAAAGAGCCAAATAGTTGCTTTGGTTTTCTCCGATGTGAAAACATTCGTTGTCTAACAGTTTGTAAACAAACAAAATTATTGCGTGGGCCGTCATAACA